TCTCCAAGCAGATTCGGTGGGGCAAGGGGACTTTATATTGGCCAGTCCTGTATCCATTGGCCGCCTGTATCCAACGTTCGCCCCACGAACGTTGGATACAGGCGGCCAATGGATACAGGACTGGCCAATATAAAGTCCTCTTGCCCCACCGAATCTGCTTGGAGATTACATTTTCATTCTGTACATGTACTGGAAAATAATCTCCAAGCAGATGTATGGAAGGACCGTACAATGTTTATAGGCGAACAAGCTTCATACATGTAGCCTGGATGCCAGACTACTTCAAGGGCCTACAAAGGCCAACTCTTTAAATGCTTCAAAATGGTGTCATGGATTTCTTGTTTTAGTCCGTATTGTGAATTTCTCACTGATTCAATTATTGTGACACCCATGCAGTCCAAAAGGTCCTAAGTTCATCCACTATACCACTCTCTTCATACCAACCTGCAGGTAGACCATTTTGACATCCAACCTGACCTTCCCGTCAATCTACAGTTACATTGTATATCATCTACCCACTCCTTCTAGACACCTCTGTTTAATTGAACAATTATCGACAAACAAGCGCACACAAACACACCAAAAACAACACCTCCATATCTATAAGTAATAAGGACACTCCACACATAACTTCTGATATGAAAATTCACACACTTTGTGTTTATTATTGATCGCATACTCTGGTATGGTGTTCAAAGTTTTTTTTCCTCCAATATTGCATTTACAATAATTTGTCTATTCCTTCCTCCAGATGGAAGTGGCACTTTTTTGATAGTAACATCATCAATCGCTTTGTACAGTGGAAAGGGAAAATAGAACCGTGTTCTACTAGAAAAGGTACAGAGGCAAAAAGATACGAGGAACTTGCACCCGACTCTCAGTCACAGTTTTGGTATATTATGAACAGCATTTTATAGCAAATCATTATCAAAAATAATGGCTGGTAAGTTAATACGTACGAGCCTGTCCGTTTGTTGTCTGCAGCTTTTTTTTATCGTGTTTGAGAAATACACAGCAAGGCATTTGATACATAAATAATTATTACATGAGATTTGATGGAAAATGTACACATATCGTACAATTGAAAAAAACATATTTGCATGCACAAAAGAATTGCTAGTTTGATTTCATTTTTTTCCCTCACAAAAACATTAAAGTTCCCTGTAGCTAAAGGTTTAGTTTTTTAACATGCAGAAAGAACAATGTTTGATACCTAAGAGGAGACAATATAATCTTTGCATATGACATACAATAGTAGCAAGCTGCCTGGGATCATCAGACAAGAGAATACTACAAATGGAAACAAAGAAATGTAAGAACAGATTCAAGAACAATTGGCAAGCAACTTTTACAGCAGGCAATATAGATATCATCGGCCGATATCTTGGATTTTTGGTGGATGAAAATAATTTCTTCACAGTTTTGTTGATACATGAAACACCAAGTTCTGTACATAGTAATTCCGGTGGCTTTTTTTTTTGCTTGGGCCATAATGGCATCCATACTCGACAATAAATACATGGGCTCACTTGGGTGAGGGCACAGACACTGGACACACGAACAAGACTCAACACTTTGGCCGTCCATTACAAGTGGATACTTCTTACTCCATAGTCACAACTGTTGACTTTCTTTCTCTCAAAAATAGTACAAAACTCTTGCACCATACAAAAACAATCTCAGGGTTTATATAGTAATACATGTAGTGGAAAATAATGCATGTTTTATGTATATGTAAAGATGCCTTCAGCCAGAATCCCCTTTCCTAGTACTTGTCAATCAAATGGACTGAGAACAACAATCACGCAAAAAAAGGAAAAAAAAACTCATATTATTTGCAAATTCTAATTATATCCAGTATACAAAGTCAGTTTCTCCCTTTCTTAAATATTATTCAGTTGAAATTTCGAAACTGCAACAAAGATATTTATAATTCTTTTCATTATTCAATACCATTCAATTTGCTACCAAAATTCATAACTTATAACATTCTTGTGGACTGTGTTTCATGCTA